ATATATATATATATATATATATATATATATTATAATTTACTATTTTTTCACTTTTAGTCTCTGTAAAAAATTTTATTGTTGTTTTATTCCTAATCCTTTAAGATGTTTTCAAAATAATTCTTATCATCAACTTTCACTAAAAAAAATTTCATGTAACAAACAAAATGCATTTTATATTTTTTATATTCTATCTCATCATTATCATGCAGATAAATTAATTTTCATTTTTTAAGAAAAAATTTTAAAATACATTTTATTGCACCCAAACCCTTACTCATCTTTATTATACCTTGATTAAACTTATCCCCTTTAATTCAAATCTAACGTCGTAAACTCTAAACTTCCTAATATCCTCGACAAGGAACAACTTTCCATAAATCACGATCTAGACAATGACGCTAGGTTCATCCTCATTGACCATTGCCTTTACGTGGTTGTCACTAACTCTAAACCCTAAACCCTAAACCTTAAACCCTAAACTCTACCTTACTATGAAGGAGTTCAACCTCATACTTGACTACTCCCCATCGTTCAAGAGCTCTTGTGCTATCAAAGTTTCCATCACTTCATGTCGTCTCCTTCAAGGCCAAAAGAAGAATTACACCTATTAGCTATCATGATTGTCATCACAGTGACAAGCAGGATACATCATTGAAGAAAGGAGGCTAATAATCTAGCTCTGTAACAACAGCTAGGACGCGACGTTCTACGACCCAAAAAGATGTGTGAAACGTATAATAAAGTGACAATAATGAAATATATTTTAATATTTTTTTAAAAAATTAAAATTAATTTATCTAAGTGAGAATGGTAAAGTAGAATATAATAATAATTATAATATGTATTTTATTTGTAATGTACAATTTTTTTTAACTAGAGTTGATGGTAGAGATTATTTTTGAAACCTTATAAAAGGTTAGGGATAAAACAACAATTTTTTTTACAAGAACAAAAGGGTCAAAAAAGGCAAAATACAGAAAATCCAACAAACTGAGCCTGGAGAGGCTTGCCAAAAAATACTCCCACAGAATAATTGAGCCTGAAGAGGCTTGCCGAAATAATACTCTCCAAAAGACATCTCAGCTCGCATTCTCGGGCTGAACAAAAAA